AAGTTTGCAATAAACAAAAGTTTATTCTGGGTTTAAATGTATAAACATAAATACGTCTAAAGCATTTCAGTAAGGGAGGAAACAACTGCTATTTATGTGCAAGCTATGGTCTCAAAATTTGCACTATATATTTTCTCCTGTTGTAGTTTCCTATCACAAAACAATGAAGTAAAATAGAAAATAGATGAAAAATACCTTAATGATATTACAAAAATGTAACTGGCCTTTTTCCAATTGCACACATCTTTAAGATATTCTACTGTACATCAGGTGAGTGGGGTAGACTGAAGCCTAGCATTTTGTTGTTGCTTTTTGATAATTGAGTTTATTCAGTAATACAATGACATAATGAAATTATGTACTTACTGTCTTTGAAGATTCCTCTTAAAGTACAGCTAAACCATCTTTGTCTCTGCAAATATTTATTTGCAATGATTTTCCTCTTAATTATTTAAAATATAATGAATTAGGCATAAGTACTTTGCCATTAGTGTAATTTAAAGTGTAATTGCACATCAGTAGCATTTTCGAAATATGCTTCTATTTACTTTTTCTACCAAAAGGTGGCGTCCTACTACCATACCCTTTCTTTTGTGTGAAAATCTTCCTGCTTTAATTTGCCAAGAAGAAACTTCCACTTGATTACTGATCAAGAAATTAAAATGTGCTCTATATGAATGCAACGTGACAGTGTTGAAAATGAACAATATGTTAAGAAGCAGTTAAGTTCCCCACTAACATATAGTAAATGGACATGCAGTTCTTCACCACTTCAGCTGACTAGACACTGAAATATACAAAATCATATAGAAGAACATTTAAAATAAGCTCCCCCTCTTGAATCTCTTATTTCGAACCTGCTGAAAGCCCAAAATGAGGTGAATGCAATTACTAAAAAGCAAAGGAATGGTAAAAATGAGATTATTAACAATTCCCACTTAGTTGAAAGAAAATAGTTTCTGCTAACCAAGTAGGTTGCTCAATAATCCTATAATCAAATTGCCATCTAAATTGTTCTTCACAGAATGCTGCAGAAATGCTGTCACACTATCACACAGGATGTTTCCGGGTCCTTGGCATCTCTGAAAATCAGGCCACTGTTTTAGATATCTAAATGTAAGTTTAGGAGCTTAATTTTAAGCACCTTCTTTTATAAATCTGGCCATTATCTTTATTTCTCA